CCCTTCCTGTCCTTATCTCGATTCCCTAACCATTTGTTTTATTTTCTCCTTCCCATTCCTGATGGGCAAGGAGTGAGGGAGCAGTTGCAAGATGCTCAGTTGCCCTCTGGGCTCAAACCACAGCAAACTACTATTGAAGAAAGGAAAAAAGAACCTTAACACTAATACAGAGCCGATGGCTTCAGGAAATATGGGACCAGAACTGCAGCAGCTGGGAGCAGTAAGGACCTCAGCTCACCCCATTACAACTGTACCACTGACAGGCCAAGACACCTGCTTCAGGGCAGTCTGAAAAGCCTTGCCATCACTTGCCTTAAGGAACTGCTGGGCTTCTACAACCTCTATGATAAAAGCTGCAATTTCTAAGCTGCAGGTGGCTCAAGGTTCCTCTGTCTACTTTTAGTATTTTTCAAATATGGCTCTGGGAGTATAGGCATGTTTGGTGGGGAAGTATGGGAATACAATGGAAAATTGGTGAGGAGGATTGTAAACATGCTCAAGTGACTCGCAGCTGGGGTGCTGAAAAACATATCACACTAATTGTTGCTTAGCTCTGCGTGCTTGACAGGCAGAATGTCTGTGCTTAGATAATTTAGGCCTCTGAGAGACTCAGATGCACTCTGTTGAATATCCCTGAGATGACAGCCCAGCTGTGGGAAAGATCAAAGCACAGCGGAAAAGTACACTTGTGAAATCTTGGATATATACAGGCAAAAGCAGCAGGCCTGAGATCTGTTCCTTCTTTGACTCTTTCTGTCTAACAAGGACTGAGCTCTGTGGTGCCTGCATCCCCTCTTGGGTGCCTCTACCTGAGTGTTGCTGTGGAGGTCCCCCAGATTGTGAGGTAAAGAGAATAAATTTACTCTTTGCATTTCATCTGTGGTTTTGTGGTTGTTCCTGCATGCTGCCTGTGCCAGCTCACACTGGGAAGAAGACAGGGAAGAAAGATGCACAGTACCAATGATGCATGCTTTTATCTACTGAATCCTGTATGGAGCTGAATCGCTGTTTTCTTCAGAAACAAAGATTGAACTTCATTGAAGTCAGCAGAAAAAACATCTGTACCAGGTTTTTGCTCATTTCAGTATTGCTATTTGGAAAATAACAGTTTTAGAACTATTTAATTTAGAAAGCAACCTGGTTCTAGAGAAAACTGCCCCTTCCAGAGGAAAAAAACTCCACAAGATTTATTTGGGAAGGGGGAGACATGGCCAAAATGAGCATCACTTTGTTTAGAAGCCATGAAGTTGGGAAATATCACACATTTGGAGTTGGGGAGCAGCAAAGGTCACTCTTGGCAGTTGGGTGGCAGCTGCCTCCATGGGCTCCTCCTCTGGGAACAGTAAGGGAGAGGGAGGAGGACATGGCTGGGCTCACCACAGGGTGTGGGTAGGTTCTGCCCCACCAGATGCAGAGCTTCCCTTCTGTATCTGTGCAACGATTAAGAGATATACTTGGCTGCTGTTGTGAACAATGGGGCAGTGTAATGCTGTCAGATCATTTTGCTTCAAATCAAATGGCTTATCCTTCCCCTTTCTCCCAACACACATCCTACCTGGCACCTCTAACAGCCCCAAAGCATGCTATGGGATTTCCCATCTTCTTTATCCCACTTCGACAGGGATGATTATTGCCCTTCTTCTTCTAAACCCCCTAAAAAAATATGATTGTAATACTGTGTCTCTGTTCAATAATCAGTTAAACCCAGTAAATATGGTGAGGAGGCTGTCAGTAGCCCTGGTACTGTCTTACTGGACAATAAAGCTGATACATGTTTGCTTAATAGATCTGTTAATGTTATGGTCTTTTTCATGTTTCCCTAGAGGGTTCTTCTCAGTAAAATAAATTTATTCCGATCCTATATTGTGGCAATCTGCAGTGCGTTTAACATCAGAAAAAAAGGACATTTATTCTTTGGCTCAATCTCTAGGTGATGGAAGAGCTGAATATGGATGATGAGAAATTTCCCTAAGAAAGGGCAGTAAACTTAACAGCTTTGTGGCTGTGAGAGCATTCATTGCCCAAATGGATACTGGAATGACTGGTTCACAGAAGCAACTGGCACTATTATCAGTATGAAAAGATTTGAGACCCCATTTTCTCTAGGTGTTGTTCTGTGGTGATGCTAACTGCTTAATGTATCAAGCCAAAAGTTGCTTTCGTGGATGTTTTATCTTGAAAGGTGGGGTTGGGGAAGGAAAAAAGAGGAACGACAGAAGTGTGGTTTTGAGTTTATTCTGATGTGCAGAGCAAAAGTTGTTGAATTGCTGCAGTAAAAACATGGCATGGTGGTGTGCCAGTCAGAGGTCAAGCCATCCTTCTTCCTTCATTCAGAAAAGCACAGAAGAGGGGGACTGATTTGACATCAAATTTTGCAGAACCTGTGATTTTTTTCTGTAAGGATCTTTCCTTAAGAGGAGTAAACTACACACTGTAAAAAGCAATGAGCCCACGCTCTTGTCAAGACTCACGATGTAATTAGTGCTGATTTCTTTAAAACAGTTCTCCCTCCCCGTCCCCCTCAACTTTTAAAGAAAGGAAGTGCCCCAAACAGCTTGGGGAAACAGGAATTCCCTTGATCTACAAACAGTTTTACCTTCTCAGCCTGTGTTTGGAGGGGCTAAGCTGACTTGTAGCATTTCTATCAGGAGATAGGCTCCTGAGGAAGAGCAGCATTTCTGCAAGAACTGCCCCATGGGATAGCAGTCAAGCAACATGGCTGCAGATCAGGAATTTTGAGCCAAGCAACTGATTTGATACAATGTTGTAAATAAAGTCCATATCAATGCATCTAGATCTAAACCTAGATCATCTAGTTTGGATGGTGGGGTTAACTCACCACACTCCTAAATGACGAGCTCATTAAAGGACTGACAGGTATCTTTCCTCTTGTAGTCAGAAACATGGATGGGCCAGACAACCAGCTCAGCAGCACCAACTTTTCCCTTTCATTACTTTCTTCCTTTCAGCTATTCTGTGAGGATTGTCTGTCTCACTGCATTGTCCTGTATGGCCAAGGACCTTCCCATTTCCATCGTTACTCCCTTTGGAAACAGCTGGACCATTGGAGAGTCCGTGGTAGCAAGCTGCATCCCTGGGACTGGGCTGACTTGAGAGCTTGGGCACTTCCCGGCAGTGAGACAAGCTAGTGCAGGACAGAGAGCGAGGGTGAGGAGAAGCCACCCTGGTTACAGCCACGACTCCGAGGGGCTAGGTTGTCTGGGTCAGCCGCTGGGTATCTGAGCCCCCAGGAAAGGCTCAGGCTCAGTACAGCTTCAACGACCATGATGGGTCGAGAGAGACAGCAGCTCCTCCCTCCTCCTCACACTTCTCCCTCCGCTCCAACATGGGCTGCTCCATGAGCTGCTGTCCTTGAACAAATACCCACCTCCTCTGGTACGGTCCTCTCCAGGGGCTGCAGGGAAACCCCCGCCCCAGCGGGGCCTCTGCCGGGGCCGCAGGGGCCTCTGTGCCGGGGCGCCCGGAGCCCCTCCTGCCCTCCTGCCGCTCTCCCCTGGCAGGGGGCTCGCAGGGCTGTTTCTGCCCCTGTTTCCCTCGGGCCTGGCTGCCGGGCAGCGCTTTGCCCTTCCTTACCCAGGCTTTCCCCGAGGCGCCCGCCCGGGGCTGAGGGGCTCAGCTGTGCCCTGCGCTGGGGCCCTGGGAGCCGCCTGGAACCGGCTGTGTCCGGCGCGGGGCAGCCCCGGCCGCTCCCCCAGGGGCCCCTCACCCAATAAAAATATTATAAAAATATCAATATATGCCAGTGTGTAAGTTTAATGCTATGCTTCATTGAATGCCAAGCAGAAGTTTCAAATTCCAAAGGAAAATATAGACCTACAGAAATCAGCAGAAAAGCATAAACCCTGAGTCCCTCTGGACTCAATTCTCACTTCTCCCCTCTTTCTTTTCCTCTTTCCACATTCCTCTCTTTAGTCTTGTTTTTCTTCTTTTCCTCATTTATGACATTGTTCAGAAATCAATTAAAAGTATATTGGTTGAGAGTGGAAACAGGGACCAGTTGTATAAGGAAGGGGTCAGGAAGGCCAAGGCATAGTTGGAGCTGAACTTGACAAGGGATGCAAAGAATAGTAAGGGCTTCCACAAGTATGTCAGCCAGAAAAGGAAGATCAAAGAAAGTATACCCACCCACTATGAACACGACTAGTAAACTAGTAAGAACAGATGAGGAAAATGCGGAGGTACTCAGGAACTTTTTTGGCTCAGTCTTCAGTGGCAGCCTTTCTTTCCACACCTCTTGAATGAATGGACTGCAAGACAGGGACTGTGGGAGCAAAGTCCCTTCAGAGAAGATTGAATGCATGACCACCTGAGGAACCTGAAGTCTATGGGACCTGATGAGATGTATCCCAGAGTCCCGAAGGAACTGGTTGATGT